TCCGGCTGCCGACGAGGCGGTGACGCCGGGCGAGCAGGACGAGCCCATCATGAGCTTGAGCATGAAGGGGCCATCCCGTGGCGCCAGCGGCGTGGCTCCCAAGCTGGAGACTGTGCAGGAGTCTAGTCTGCCCGCCACACCGGGCTTTGACGGCATCGAGCCGCAAAGGTAAGGCTTTCCCCGCAGCGCCCCACTCTTTGTCATGGCGACGCACGCACGTTGCAGCTACGCACGGAGCGAAAAACCGTACCAACTAACAACCATGCTAACGGCTATCGCAGCTTCACGCCCACAGCAACCACGCACAAGAAGCCCGAGGAAGACCGCAATGACGTCAGTTCGTCAAAGGTTACCGAAGACCTCAGTAGCCGAAACAACAACACGAACAGCAACAATATGCACACGGGCAGTGGCAGCGACAGTGGCACGAAGAACGGCAGGAAGGGCAAGATGCAGGAGCAGCGATCCTCGTCCACCCACCGAGTGAGCAGCAACGTCTCCACCAAGCCCTCGTTGACCTCGCTGTCATCGCGAGCCCGCGATCCACCCCTGCGCAACATGACGGTGGAGACGGAGACGGTTCCATCCATAGCACAGGCCACCATCAGCAACCAAGATCGCTCTGCCTCAGGTCGTGTCGACGGCAGCCTGCGATTGAAGCCGAGTAACGAGACAATACGCCCCAAGAAGGAGAGGAAGCCTCCAAAGCGAAAGGCGCCGTCAATCCACTCGGGCACCGGTAGGTCGTCGCAACTTTCATATCACTACCAAATCCCTAGCAGGCCCGACATGGGGCCACGATCGAATACCGCGTCCTCGTACGGGAGTCAGGTGTCACTGCGCTCCTACGACGACCGGCGATCGATGGTGACCATGTCCCCACCTGCAAGCCCAGAGATGGCCGTTTCTGCTTATGCTCCGTCGCTCAGCTATTTCTATTCAAATACTAACTCAAGCTTCCGTAAAGCTTCATCAAAAGCAGATGTCTTCGAACAGAAAGTTGCAAGCGCAGTCGACGAAGCCAATTCTTCCGATTCGGACGCTACCTTCATCTACGAGTCCAACCCACCCGAACATCAGCCTCACCGCAGCCGGGGTCACCACTCTAGAACACCCAGCATGACATCCATCGCCAGTCTTGCCGACCCACGTTTGGCGATACGCAACGAGCACAAGAATCCTGGCAAGAAAAGCAGTATGAAGTTTACCAACCCATACAACAATCCGAACCTCGACCTTGATGGCATGGATCGCGGTGAGGGAACAATACGCTTAGGGTCTGGCCGCGCCGGCACAGGCAGCCACCATCACCACATCGGCCGACACGGCCAAGGCCGTGGCGCTCTTGGTCACATCTTGCTGAATGACGACGCCGCCTCCTCCATGTCGCAGTCCTCGCGCGGACGCGGACCCTCTTCGCGGCACCCATCGCAGCCAAACAGTCCCCGCTTTCATAACTTTACCGTCACAAACGGTACTATCAACGGCAACAACAAGTATGGAGAGTTATCCACCTACGACATTGATGCGGGCATCGTGGCAGATGATGAGCGTACGCCACTGATTCCATCAAGCCGAAGCCCCAGAGTCCGGACTCCGCGCCGAAGAGACAGCGTAACTCTCAGCAACCTGCAACGGCAACTAGATCGCAGACATCGCAACGAAGGTGGTTGGTGTCGCCGTTTCGCCGGGTGTCTTGTGCTGTCTATTCTGCTTCTCGTCGTTGTCTTTAGCTCAGTGGGGCTTGTGTTCGCGACCACGAAGCCTTTGACAAACGTGAGCATTCACGAGATCCGGAACGTGGTGGCCAGCCAAGAGGAACTGATCTTGGATTTGGTTGTCGATGCTGTGAACCCAAATATCGTTGGTGTTACGATTACCGACATGGACGTCAGCATATTTGCAAAGAGCAAACACGTTGGCTCAGACAAATGGTGGCACGAACACGGCAACGGAGTACCGCACAACAATGAGGAAGACTGGCAGTCAATCGAGGCTTCCGATATTGTTGACGCAACCGGCAAAACTCCAGACGGAGTTGACGAAGGCACCGATCCTATCGAAGATCCAGATGTCGGTGAGCCTCGCACTATGTTGCTCGGCCGCATATTCCACTTCGATTCTCCGCTGAATTTCGATGGCTCATTCTGGCAGCGGCACTGTGCCGAATCGATCGGTGAGATCCGCCTGACACATCCAGGGAACAAGACCGAAGCTGGTGGAACAAAGCGGTGGGAGGAAGTCTCGCAGTACCCTTTTGAACTCATCGTGCGGGGCAACTTCAAATATCAACTTCCACTCAGCACGCGAGATCTCAGTGTCGTAGTCACGCATACCTATCATTACGATCCGGACGCCGAGAAGAAAAGGCTGATCGAGGCCGACGAGAGTGGGGTCGAGCCGATGAAAACAGAGCAGCCTGCACATGCTATACCACTCAAACCCCTGGGGAGATACGACCGCAGAGCCATTGCAACTCTCCAATGTCGGTAGAGGGGTCGCCTATTCCATTTTGTACAACATCAGTACTCGAACTCCTGAAGGGCCAGCGTTCATTCGCGGCTCCAGATATCACGGCCGAAAGAAATCAGATACCTCCATACATACGAGTTCACGACCCATAGATTCACAACATCCGGTCTCCTGTTCTGCTTCATCAGCGAACCCGGCCACATGATCGTCCTCCCTACTACGGCTCTACAGCCCAACGATTTCCTTTCTGCTCTGCTTTTTGCTTTGCATGCATTCGTGCTCGAGCCCGTCGCGGAGGCTCGCGACATGTATACGTTTTGGGTCTATTCACAACGCTTGCGAAATCAATGCGCTTCAGCGAAGGTGTTCTTATCGGTTCCTACTGTTTGACGCTTCATATTCTCATACCTTGATCGAGAGAGACCTTGAGGTCTGAACCCCTTGTCACAAATCTTCCCTTTCATGTGAGCGATACTTAGCTACTTCAACCTCTTGTCTTCAGTCTTTCTGAGGCTTTGAGCAAAAGAATCAAAATTTTACTGCGGTCATTGCTGGCCTGCATATCCCTACCTGTATATCCGCACGCTCGTCGAGTATAGTATGCTGGGACGTTATAGTACCACTGCACCTTGTCTTCTTTGCCACTGCAAACATGAGTCCTTCGAATGTAAGTCAGGCTTTTCATGCTGGGGTCTTGGTTCCCCATTGTGGGTGCTTACAAAAGACAATACTGCATTCTGATTGGACTTAATTCGGTGCAATATAGTTCATGCACTCGCTGAAGCGGGGTGCATAGAATATATCCCGTTCCGGAAAGAGATGACCAGGCCCAGCATTCTCGGTGCATCTATCTCCATACATATTCCATCTTGGCGAGATCAGCAACACACTGTACATCGAGCGCCCCTCCGTTGGATGTTAGATGCTCGACCTTGTGAACGGATTCCTATCTTGAAATTGTTGTCATGCTCTCCCCGCGCTTCCTTTCGTTGGTCGCATGGCTAATAGTATTCGCTGCTGCACAGTCATGTCTCACAGACACCGACTGTAGTCTGAACGGTCTTTGTCTCCCTAGCACAAACATAAATTCTACTTCAACCTGCCGCTGTGATCCCGGCTGGTTTGGTGATGATTGCGGGCGGCTCGATCTTGCGCCAGCAACGAGATACACTGGCTTCAACGAAACCAACGCCACTGCACCTACCCATTACAGCAATCGTGGCAACTCCTCCTGGGGCGGCCAGGTTGTTCAAGATCAGGACGATCCGAAGCTTTTCCACCTCATCTACGACCAGTTTGCGCACGGCTGTGGATTGAGTGGCTGGCGACCCACAAGCTTCATTGCCAGAGCAGAGAGCACGAGTGGGCCTCAAGGGCCGTACGTATGGAAACAAAATGTTACATCGAGCTTTAGACATAACGCGTATGTGTACTGGAGTCCAGCAGATAAGAAGTATTTGCTCTGGAGCATCGGCGTGGATATCCCGGATCCGAAACAGTGTGGTGGGATTAACAAGTATGTCACGCACAAATGTCTGAAATTTGGTACAAAACCGGATACTGACACTATACAGAGCCCAGTGGCCAAACAACATATCCGTCTCCAGCGCCCCTACAATCCGCGGCCCCTGGACCCCCTTCAAGATCCTAATAAACGGCACAAACCCCGCCCCAGCACCTCTCTGGACGCCGCACAACCCCACAGATGAAACCATCCTCGCAGCCGAAGACCTCAAAATCTTCACGGCCCCATCCTACAACGGCCCTTACAAACAAGCCTACTCGCCGCCGTGGAACACCTCAGACTACTCCCCCACCTGGGCCGAAGACCCGTTCCTCTGGCGCGACAAGCGCGGAAACTGGCACGCGCTGGCCCACTGGATGATTGACATCACCGAGCGCGGTGCAAAGTACCCGCGCGTAGGTGCGCACATGTTCAGCAGGAACCTGACGGGCCCGTGGACGTTCAAGCTGCAAGAGGCGTTTAATTCGACGGTGAGCTTCACTGATGGGAGTACGGAGACGTTCAATAGGCGGGAGAGGCCAAAGCTGTTCTTTAGTGCGGATGGGGAGGTCACGCCGCTGTATTTGGTTAATGGGGTGCAGAGGTTGGGTTCTACGACGGAAAGCTACACGCTGGTGCAGCCGGTGGGGGAGAAGTGGAGGCAGTTTGAGAGCGGGTTGGGGTTTTTGTGAGATCGAATGTGGATGTTTAGCATGTGAGACAGAGTAAAATTCCAACCAGGTTTCTTATCTTGCTTGGTGCTATTCTTCTCACATCAACACACCCACAAATCCAAAGTGCCGTGTAGACCTCGCCAACCCAGCAACGCCAAGAACCACACAGCTCCACAACCCGACAATCCGAACGACCGCCCCACCCAGAAAAAACCTCCGTCCTAGCATCGCAATCTCCCTCCTACTCAACCCCTATCCAATTTTGCTACCATTATGAATTATCAAACCCACCCCCTCGCCATCAAAACAAGCAAACCAAAGCGCGACTCAACAGAATTCGTTGATCACAATCCTCCGTGGCGCAATTGGCTAGCGCGTCTGACTGTTACCAACAGTGTGTTATCCGTTAATCCGCTTGATGATTGCATATCAGGAGGTTGAAAGTTCGAGCCTTTCCGGGGGAGATGACACGAAATAATTTTTTTTCTTTTCTTCAGTCTGCGCGACGCCTTTTTTTTTTGTTGACGCAATGTTTTGTGCCATGTTTGGTTTGCGTTCGAGTGAGAGGCCTTGCTAGACGGTGGTTTCGTCTTGTGTGAATGTCGGAAAGAAGGGCTGCGCGGTCACGACAGACACCATTGACGTCCTCTTAAACGGGACGTATGAGCTGTACATCTGCCGAGGGAACACGAAGCAAGTCCATCTACAAGTGTATGATTTGTGACAAATGCCAATAATCACCTCCTTGAATACTCAATATCACACCAATGAGCGGCCCAGAGTTTTGTAGGCAGAAAGAATTCAATTCCCGTGAAATTCATGTCATTAATCACTATCATAAACTAAGAAAGACATGACTCAGGCCGCAAGAGACCAATACCTAGAAAGGCCACACCCAGTCGTCAATCTCCTTGGGATCCAGTCCCTCGTGGTAAGAGTAGTTCTTCGCGCGGATCTGCTCGTTAAGCAGTGTCTCGCGCGTCGACGCGCCCTTGTTGCCCAGGCCAGGAATGCGGTCAATGGCATCAATCGCTAAGCTGTAGCGATCGGTACCGTTGCGGATGGCCAGCTCAAACGGTGTGTCGATGTTGCCCTTCTCTCTGTATCCACAAACGTGGAGGTTCTGCTGGCCCTTGCGTCCGTAGGTCAGGCGGTGGATCAACCAAGGGTATGAGTGGAAGTTGAAGACGCAGGGGACGTTGTCTGTAAAGATGGCTCGCCACTCGTGTGCCTTCAGACCGTGAGGGTGCTCGCTTGAATCGATCAGCTTGAAGAGATCGACGACGTTGACGAAACGGATCTTCAGCTGCGGTAGGTGTGTGCGCAGCAGACCAGTGGCTGCAAGAGCTTCGTGAGTTGCGACATCACCGCATGATGCCATGACGAGGTCAGGCTCCTCGCCTTGGTCGTTTGATGCCCATTGCCAAATGCCAACACCCTTCGAGCAGTGCGCAATGGCTTGGTCCATGGTGAGGAATTGAACATGTTCTTGTTTGTCAGCAACAATAACATTGACGTAGTTTTCACTACGCAGGCAGTGGTCCATGGTAGAAAGAAGACAGTTCGCATCAGGAGGCAGGTAGATGCGAACGACGTCGGGGCTCTTGTTGGCAACAACATCGAGGAAGCCTGGATCCTGGTGCGTGAAGCCGTTGTGATCTTGTCGCCAAACAGTTGCTGTGAGAAGGATGTTGAGCGATGCGATCTTTTGTCTCCACTCAACTTCGAGACACTTCTCAATCCACTTGCAGTGCTGGTTCACCATGCTGTCAATGATGTGGATGAAAGGCTCGTAGCTGTTGAGCAGGCCATGTCGTCCTGAAAGAATGTAGCCTTCGAGCCAGCCCTGGATGTTGTCAGCAATACACTCAAGGATCAACTCCACCAATCCGTACGTACCTCGACTGTGTGTTCGGAAAGCATCTCCATAACGCGTCCTTCGAAGGCAAGGTTGCCACCATCTTCGTCCTCCTCGAAGTAGTCGGCCATCCAGACTTTCTTACCAGCCTCGTAAATTTTGTCAAGCTTATTAGACTGTGTCTCATCGGGACCGAAGACACGGAAGTCTTTGGGGTTCTGCGCGACAACGTCGCGAAGGAAGCCTGCAAAGTTGGCCATGCTGCCCATCTTCGACACACCGCCCTTCTTGACATCAACGCTATAGTCGCGGAAATCGGGAACATGCAGCTTCTTCCTAATCAGGCCACCGTTCGCGACTGGGTTGGCACTCATCCGTCTGTTGCCCTTAGGAGCCAGCTCCCTGAGCTCAGGAATAAGCTTGCCATCTTTATCGAAGTGCTTCTCGGGCTCGTAACTACGCATCCATTCCTCAAGCTTCTTACGGCTCTCGTTGTTGGTCAGGACATCGGTGATTGGAACCTGATGAGCACGCCAGAAGCCTTCAGAGTAATGCTCGCCGATCTTGCGAGGACCGGTCCAGCCCTTGGGTGTGCGAAGGACAATCATGGGCCAGCGAGGCCTGAAAGCCTTGCCAGAGTCGCGAGCCTGCTTCTGGTATTCCCTGATTTTGGTGATACAGCGCTCCATCGTGGAGGCCATAGCTTGGTGCATCGATGGTACGTCGCTGCCCTCCACGAAGTAGGGTGTCCATCCGTAGCCGACGAAGAGAGCTTCAAGCTCCTTGTGACTTACACGAGAGAGGATGGTGGGGTTGTTGATCTGGTGATGTCAGTTCGTCGGCTGGATCAGCAAGGGGAGGATTGTCTTACTTTGTATCCGTTCAGGTGCAGGACGGGCAATACGGCTCCGTCAGTAATGGGGTTCAGGAACTTGGTGGAGTGCCAGCTTGTAGCCAGGGGACCGGTCTCAGATTCACCGTCACCAACCATTGTCAGAGCAATCAGGTCTGGGTGATCGAAAACTGCGCCGAAAGCGTGGGAGATGGAGTAGCCCAGCTCTCCTCCTTCATGCAAACTACCTGGCGTCTCGGGGGTAGCGTGGGAACCAATGCCGCCAGGGAACGAGAAGTACTTGAAGAATCTCCTCAGACCTTCCTCATCCTCCTTCTTGTCGGGGTAGACCTCAGAGTAGACACCCTCAAGGTAGGAGTTGGAAAGGACGGCAGGCGCACCGTGGCCGGGCCCGGAGATGAAGAGAGCATCCAGGTCATACTTCTTGATCAGACGGTTCATGTGAATGTAGGTGAACGATTGGCCGGCGTCGGATCCCCAGTGACCCAAGAGACGTCGCTTAAGATGATCCAATGTCAATGGATCGCGCAGGAGAGGGTTTCTTCGCAGGTAGATCATGCCCAAGCACATGTAGAGAGAAGCGTGGAAGTAGTCGGTCATGAGGCGCACCTCATCGTCGCTGAGCGGTGTCTCGTTGACAGAAGACCTGGCAACACCGAATGGCGACAGGCTGAGGTTGTCGAGATCTTCGGTGAGCTTTTCAGGCTCAGGCGCCGAGGCCGTGATCATTGCGTCCATGCTTGTTGTTGTGGTTGGAGGTGCGAGCAGGCGAACGCGTGCCTTTAAGTTTGTTCAAAGTGGAGACGCGTGCTATGATGTAGTGGACGGGAGTGGGCGGAAGTACACAGGTTGTTGAGGGGTTCAGGAAAGACCTAGGGCTCCTAAACGGTGTACAGGTCAATTGAGGACTCAAGGTAAAGTTGCAGGAGCACAAAGAGCTGTGTAACGGGCTCCCAGCTGTATTTGAGCCCGTAGCTGTCAGTTGCGACCGTTGGACAGCTGGAACCGGAAAGCTCTCCTGATCCATTGCTCCAGCTGTGCCATTGGCCATTGGGCAGTTTGACACCGCTCAGGCGACGGACTTTCATCATGAGGTGAGCTTTCTGCCGAATGGGAGCTGTTCTCTGTTTGCGTGTCATGCTGCGTCATGATGCACCATGGCCTGATACACAAAAAGCTGCCCCACCTTCACCTATTCAGGTTTAGACTGAGCGACTGCGTTCCTGATTTGCATCGAGCATCACGAAAAAAGTCAGAGCTTCCATTGTTGCCCTCCAGACATCTGGCCATGGCCTCATCGTAACCGTTTCGGCGCGCGCTTATCTTTCAGATCTTCCCGCCTTCCAGAGATAAGAGGGAGAAAACTTCTGTCTCCAGGAGTGCCATATCCTGGTCTTTCATTCAACACTCACGCCGAGCCTCTGATTTGCTGGTGACGTTATGCGCGTCCGGCTGCCCCGCGCCTCTAGAAACCGACAAACCGAGCACCGAGCTACCGATCCTCCGAGTAGCCTAGCATTGCCAACCAAGAATCGTGGCTGGCTGTGGCGCAACCCAAGCTTTTCACACGAGGCTTTCGTGCCGCGGCTGGGTGTTTGGCGTGAATAATCGCGACGTCAGGTCAACAGTGTGGGAAATCTGCTGGGAGATTATATTCGCACGTTGCTAAGGATCACCAAATGGACAGTCTGCAATACCAAAACTTCAAGTGACGAGCTGATGAAAAGAAAGGGAGATGGTCCAGTGTGACGCAAGCGGACCAGTTTCCGAGAGATCATGGTGAAATCCGGAATACGAGCAACCCAGAACCACGTTTCCAGACAATGAGTGTAGCCAATTTGATACTCCCCATGCGGGAACGGCAACAATCACCAATCATCGTGATGATCTTAGTGGTTGAGCCTCGCACAGATTCGCAGATCTTAGCTAAAGGTTTTAAACGGCTTTGACAAGTAGTTGAATATGCATTTGCGGTCTCTTCGTGATTACCAAAGGATGTAAAAAGCACACATAACCCCACCGACTACCTCGTTTCCAATCTGCAAACGGTATCGAGCGCTCGTCAATGCTTGGCTCCTCCTGTCCACAGCACGCCTCAGCCTTGTTATCCAAGTTTCCATCTACTCGTCGTCCTGCACGTCGATGACAGTCTTGCTCCATTGGCGAGCAGGGATCTTGCGCTTGAACATGATGTCGATCTCACGGTAAGATCGGTTCTTCATCTCAGGCAAGAAGAAGTACGCCACGACGAAGCAAGCAAAACCGGTACCACCCCAAACGTAACCGCACTTGCCGCCAAGGTTTGCTTCCTGCGTTTCGTTAGTAACTGTTTATCGTAAAATCCCAAGGGGGGCGGATCTTACCTTAGGGTTGAGCATGTAACTGGAGAGGAAAATGCAAGGAATGTTGACAATGTAGTAGGAAGCGCGACCAATTCCAGTGGTTAGAGGCCTCAGGCGGATGGAGGATGTCTCTCCGATGATGACCCACGAAGCGGGCGCAGGTCCCAAGGTGAACAGGACGGAGACAATGAGACCCAAGGACGCCTGTGCCAGAGAAGCTGCGTTCGAGGCGCCGACAGATGCTGCGATACCGAGAGCGATCAGGAAGCCTACGTTGATGAGAGAACCCCATACGTAGATGGTACGTCGGCCAAGGTAGGACGTGAGGATCCACGAAAGCATGACGAAGACTGCCTGGAGAGCGGAGGTGATGAGACCGAGTGCGAACGCAGTGTTTGTCTTCATGCCAGC